GATCGAGCGCGTTAGCGAAGCGTTAGTACCGCAAGAACGTCATCGCGAGGAAGTAGAGTCTCTCTCTCTCTCTCTCTCTCTCTCTCTCTCTCTCTCTCCTTCTCTCTTTTCTTTCAATCAATTTTCTATCAATTGCACGAGGAGGATTTTTCTTTTTTCATAGAATTTTTCTTAGAGTCGTGCGCAATTATGGCACGTGTTCGGCTCCGCCAGCAGCGGCGTTCCCGCTTTTCTCGACCGGCCGGCGAGACCCGAAGAGTTTTAGTTTCAAACCGCTTTTTTGTTTACTCTACTGTTAACCAAATCGAGAAATCGACAAGAACAAAAAGTCATGTGTAAGGAATCTGGTGGTAGTTTCGTCATCGACCTCGGACGGCCAGCCGGTATTTATATTTTCGAAGAGGTTCGAACTCGAACGATAGATTACGATGTCGTAATACGATTCCTCCCGGGTGCCGTGTCGTCGAAGAAACAGAAACCGGATGATTCATAAAAAACTCGATCCACTCATGCGTGTGATGTCAATCGATAGCTTATGTTTTTTTTTTTCTTCTCTTCGATACCACACGTAGCTCCGTTATCTGTAGTCTAAGAAACGGACGATTGAAAATCGAGCGGATTCGAGCTCTGAAGCTCTGTCGCTCGAATCAGCCCGCGCATACGTGGGTTACGTTTACCTTTATACTTCAGAGTTCAGACATCAGGCAAAGTTGTCAAAGTTGATCCGATTCGTTTCAATTCCTGCGTAAATCTCCCCGCAACCGATAGTCACCGTGGGAGTGTATGTTATAATTCTAATGCTGCACAGTATGCGTAGTACGCAGATTATATAAGACAACGCCGACTGTGGTATCTACGTAACGGGGCTCTCGCGCGTCAAGGACCAGAGAGCCGAGCGTGAAACTCGACTTCACGAGCCGCACACTCCGCCGGAGTTACGCAAGCCGGCATTCGTCTATCGTGATCGCGGAATTTAGGTCAAACGACGTGTCCTCCGCTGCACTATCGGCAGCCCGACGAAACGTCACGAATTTTTCTCGTCTGTTAACTTTTTTAAGCACCCCCCCATAGCCGCGCGCGCGCGCGCGCGCGCGCTCGCTCGCTCGCACTTGCACTCGCGAGCGCGCAAATCAGGCGGCGATCAAGGTGATCTATAAAATGGAGAAAAATGAAATGCGTTGACCTGCGAGTAATGCGATCGATCGAGCGAAGCTGCTCGTATGAGACGCGTGTGCTCAGAGAATAATAAAATATTCGCCGGCTTGTCGGAGAAGCGCGCTATTTACCGGGGAAAAATTCGCTGGGATTTGATAGGATTATCCGGAATTCGGAACTTTGCGAATTTGTTCTTGAGAAAAAGGTTTCTTGTTTTTTTCTCTCTCCAGTTAATCGCCGACTCGTTATCTATGCGCGACAAAAGTTAAAAATTTATCGGCGTGTCCTCGGATGATGTCTTCAAAATAAGCTGCTGTACAAAACGTCGTGCAGCATGCGTGGAATAGAATTGTTCGTGCGATGAAACACGAGTGTCGCATGTACCTACTTATACTTTCATTTGGCTTAAGTCAACAAAATGTGAATCATCGCCGAGTGGAATGGCCGACGCTGACGTTGAAATCGGTTGGCGGCGGTCGGTCAATGCCCACGCGGCGGCCACGTGGTTTGACAGAAACTTCACGCCCGATTATTTCCAGAGTGCTCGCACCGGAATACGAGCCTCGTGGTAATTGGCAATCCAAATCTGTCAACGTTTGCAGTAATGTCGAGCCGATTATCGTTGTGACGATAACGAAAGCGATCAACGGGCGACGTTCGATATTTTGTTTGACCGAGAGATGTTTTTCATGATGTGGCAACACATTGATGAAAATTAAGCGGGTGTTTTCTCCTTCCTCTCTCTTGAATCTTGAAGATCGTTCACGCGCCGGTGATCCTGGATAATTGGCTACTCGTCCAGCCTGCATCTGCAACGGGGAGATCAATCGCAATAAGATTTAAAATAAGTATGCGATGAGAGAGAGCAACAGCTAATCGAACCGATTTCCTGAAAAGGTCAGTCTTCTTGTCTAGTATTCACTGATGGCTGATTGACGTTTCAAAGAATCCATCATTCTCCTCTGGACATATTCATTGAGGAGGATTTATCGATCGTGATCAACCCCGCATACTTGGACGAGGGATAAAAGCAGAGCTCTTCAAGAGTTTTTTTTTTCTCCGTTCTTTTTCTTTTCTTCCTGTATTTATTTTTACAAGAGATGGACCTTATTGACTATTTATAACATAGGAAATTTCGGATGAAAGGAATTTTTAACGGCGATTGTTAGAGAGAGATTAATTGTTTCCGATAGTTTTACTAAAAAAAAAAAATTAAATTAAAAAAATACGAAAAATAAGTGTTAAGTGATATCTTTTTCATGTTGGAATTTATGTAAGTGGGAATTTTGAAATGTTGAAATGCATCTCGGTGGGTGACAAACGTTTCGTAAGGAACTCTCCTTGCGAGCTCAGCGTAGGTCCGACTCGACGACGTCCTGTCTATTTATAAATCGATGCATAATATAATGCGTATGTTTGACGTGTAATCACGTGTCGCATGTCAAAGTGTAAAGGCAATTTTGACGCTTGACGGCCTCGCGCCTTGAAAAATCGGCTGCGTAACCATAGCCAGCCAAATCTGTGAAGGGAGAGAGAGACATTCATAGGGGAAAACAGTGACCAGCTTATAGCTCGGTTGACGATGCTTGTTGAACTATGGAAACCGTTTCAGCCGCCTCGGCCTACTTAAGCTCGTGTCGTTATTTTTAGCATTAGGGTCACCACCGCCATATAGCTAACTCTAGTACCATCCTTTCTTCCTACGATTCGAGACGAAAGTCTAACTTTCTCAATTCTTCGCGACTCGATTGTTTTTATGATGTCAATTTTGATCAAATCCAGTCGGAATTCGATCGAAATTGCGTTTCGATTAAGAAGTTTCGATTCGAAACGACGGAAGATCAATTGACTCGGCTGTAGAATTAATAAATCTTTAAAGTTTAGATTAGATTTCAGACGGGATTTTGTTGTAATGTACCTTGCACCTTCTGTTTGTTCTGTTTTACATTTGTTTCAAGTTGTAAAATTTCTTTCCGAGATGGAGGACTTCTTTACGAAGTCTATTTGTACGCGTAACGTAGACGTGATAACGTTTGTGGTGATTACGATCGTTGCATGCATTGTCGTCCGAATCAGCTCAATAGACTAGACTTAGATATTTGCGATATTTTCTGGTATTAATTTCTTTTTATTTTAATCATATATTTTATCATTGTATTATCTTCGTAACGTTATAATGCTATTTTTTTTTTGATAATATAATTTGAACGTTTAATGACTTGAGACAAACAGTAATAATAAATAGGTTCTCCTTCGATACTTATTATTATTAAAAATTTATGTTATTCAGAATTTCGACATTTTTTTTGTGAGAAAGATCTCGAAGGAGAAGACCATAATAAGCTGATTCGGGGTAACGAACGGACGAGAGATTCGACTGACGGACGCGAAATATATACGCGAACATATATTTGAGAGCAAGAATAAAAGACACGTTATACAAATCGAACTTTGTTCTTTCCGACACCGTCTAATATACGATCTCACAAAAGATTCCCTAAACGTTTATTGCAGAGTTACCGGAAGATCGCACGGCAGGTCAGCACACCTGATAGCGCACCAGCCGGTCTTGGTAGTCCGCAGGGTGGTATCGGTGGTTTGCAGCAACAGCATCAGCAACAGACGCAACAATCGTTGCACCAGCCAGATCCCATGCAGCAGACCAAGGACAATCTTAATCCCGCGGCGAACCAACAAACGGGCGCCCTCAGAAACGGTAACCCGCCACCACCTGTCGTATCTATGGTGAGTTTCTAAACCTCCCCGTTAAAATTATTGAAAATTTCGCGTCGAGAGTGATCGATTTCCTCTCTTCGTTCTTCGTGTTATAATTCGCTATTAACGGTAAAAAAAAAAAAAAAAAGAGAAATTAAATTAAGCATACAAAGTACGCCTAAGATGTGCGCCTGAATGAATATTTTGGCGCCGGCGTTAAGAAATTGCGAAATTCTCGATATTTACGCGATATTTACGAAGCTCGCCTTACGATTGGACCGGTTGGATCATGCAAAGACAGTTTTAACATTTTCGTGGAGCGACGTCGCTCGCGACGGTCCATGACTGCAAAGGAATCGACTGCCGAAATAGCGGCGTAACATGGAGGGCAAGGGTAGACTACCGGCAGACAGTGAGTGCGGGGGCGGTGACCGGCCGCCAACGCGAATCAATACCCGAGGAACAGGA